ATCCGTCAAGTGTCTCGCTATAAAACTAACCGCCATGCGCCTCAGTGCTCTCTTAGGCTGGGAAACGCACTGACACGGAACACCGCATTGCACATTCTCCAACCACACTATTGCTGTGCTGTAAGTGAATAGTGATGCAGCCTTTCGGAAAATCCGGTCGACGCTGCCACTCTTCTCGGACAGCAGTCCCCGAGTGACTTCATTTCCCTGCCCGGGTTAATGCACTGGTACCGCCACCCTTCATCACCTCGACCAACTTGCTCGGATCGCCCCGTGGCAGCTGATAATAACAGTGGTCCTCGCGACTCCACTTCCCTACCACAGTCGCCACGCATCTTCGCCTCTCTCCCCCAAGAAAGGAGCCTCTCCCCCACTTGCAGGTTATTGCTGTGCAACCTCAGCACCACCTCACCGCTCTGGCATGGGGTTGCCCAAAGAGTCCCGGAACGTGATGGCCTTTCTCCCACTCAGATTTCTACTTCCCCGTCTCCTCCTCCCACCGCAGCTCAGCTGCTGCTTGGGTTGAGACATCAAGGGTTTCATCGCCTTCCTCAGCTGTTTCAGCTCAGGCCCGTTCTCCCTTTTCACAGATCGGGGAGTGTAGCAGCCTTGTCCTTGGGGTACCTAGCGGGCCACGAACTCTCCCGTCAATGACCGCCATGGGCGTAGCTCGTAGGAAATCCACCGTCCCCACCTCAGCGTATGTCACCAACGACACGAAACCCTTTTTATCCACTTTCCACCCTCCTCCCGTATAACACGCCGTCTTCCACGTGCTCCAGCTGATAGTAAGAAACTTTCCCGGCCAGAACGACGGTGAGCAGATAAGCGCTGTTTCCCTGAACACCTCCTCCGCCATCAATTGGTTAAGTATCAAGTTTTCTCCATCCTTGGGGGCGCCGCTTCCCAAGCCTTGAGAGCCCACTTCCTCTGCGCCTCACCTCCCAGCTTCCCGTTCCAGGACCGCCTCGCTTTTGAGACTCCTGCTACCATTTGCCTCTTTGGCCACCAGGTCCCCAGACGGACGCCCTTCAGACAGTGTGAGCCCGCCTGATTCCCGAAGGGCGAGTTGCCACTGAAGAAAATCTTGCGGTTAAAAAGCAACTGCTCCTCCTCCGCGTCCCATCTGTGTGCAGGGTCACCCATGGTCACAATTTTTTATTCCCACAGCGCCTTCAACCGCTGCCTTCCACCTCGTGCCGCCGCCAGCCAATGTTTTAGCACTGAGGGGTGGGGCGTAGATCGTAGCCAAGCCGAGCGGGAAACCAGCCGCACCTTTCCCATAGCCAGTTTCGTAGTGGCACCTGTTCCGCCAGAACTTTTCCAAGATTTTGTGGTCACAATGCTGTCAATCCGCTGCTTCAGGTCAATCACTACCAGTCCCCCTTCTTTCCGCCCCCTGCACGACAGCTCGTAACTCCAGAGGGTGAAATGCCTATCAAGGAGCGCTCTTCCACCCGAGATGAAGTTGTGGCACAGCCTTTTCACCTTGGTCCAGATATCGTGCGGCGGAGCGTAAATCTGTGCTTGGAACAACAAAATCGGCATCGCGTAGCTGTTGATGATTGTGACTCGTGCCGACGTCTTGAGGTGCTTTGATTCCCAGCAGCTCAGCACCGCGCTGACTTTTTCAAATGCCTTGTCCCATGCAGGTCCCGGCGACCCTCCAGAGGTGATCCAGATTCCGAGTAAACGCTCCGACTTTCCTTTGTTAGCCCATGTGAAACGCGACTCTATCGGCTGCAGTCTCCTCCTGTTCTTCCCCAGCGGCATCAGTGTCGTTTGCTGGCTGTTCACCCTCAGCCCCGAAATCTCAGCAAATTCGTCGAGCAGCCTACCCGCTGTAGCCACTTGTTCCTTCCCTCTCAGGACAAGAGTTGTATCATCGGCGTACCCAATATAGGCTAGCTCCCCCTTCACCCCCCGCTTCCGAACTCCCAGATTTCTCCTCCCTATCTCTTGGCAGAGCGGCTCCACCGCACAAAGGAAGAGATAAGGGGCGAGTGGACAGCCTTGCCGTACTCCCTTGTCCATCGCCACCCGATCTCCTACACAACCGTTCAGCAGCATCCTGGTTGCTGCACCATCGTGCAAACCTCTCACCCATCTTACAAACTTCTCCGGAAAGCCCATGTTGCGCAGCGTTGTGAACAGGTAATCACGTGACACGGAATCGTAGGCTTTCTGAAAGTCCACCAGCAGCAGTAGCCAATCTTCATCCTCCGCCTCCGCTGCGTCAATTACATCTGCTACCAGCGAGACCGCGTCAGCAAGGCTCCTCCCCGGAAGAAAGCCAAACTGTTTGTCCGAGATCACCCGTGGTAAGACCTGCTTGATTCTGTTCGCCATCACTTTCGCCAGCAGTTTGTAGAAAAAGCTCAGTAAGGTGATCGGCCTGTAATTGCCCAAATCACATCTATCTCCTTTTTTGTGCAGCAGGATGGTAACCGCAGTCGTGAAAGCCTCCGAGAGTACACCCGTCGACTCAAAGCCTTTAACCTCCTTCATCACCTCCGGGCCGAGCAACTCCCAATTCTGCTCAAAAAAATCCTTCGGTAGGCCGTCCTGCCCCGGAGCCTTCCCCGCTGGTAAGCCTTTGAGCGCTGCCTTCACCTCTTGCTCCGACCACTCCGCGTCAAGTTGCAGTTGATCCTTCTCCTGCAGTCTCCTTTCCTCGTCTATTGGCCACGGCACTATGTTATGATTTGACGGTGACTCCGCGCATGCTTCTCTGAAGTGCTCTGAAGCCGCCTGTAACACATCCTTCGCCCCTTTCCTCTGCACCCCCTTGAAAACTACCTCCAGAAACTCCGTCTTTGCCTTTCTTGATTTGACCAGCCCCGACAGGAAACCCGAAGGGGGTCTCGCTCGCCAATTCCATCAGCAACCCCGTCATGACCTGCAGCCGCTCCTTGTTGCAGTCCTGATAAAGCTTGAGTGCTGCTTCGGCTTTGATCAGCTCCTCGTATAGGGCTTGCGATCTGGCATCCGCCATCACTTTCCACCGCAGCTCTTCCACTTTTTGCTCCAGATGTAACAAAGTCGCTCTCACCCTCTTCCTTTCTTCTACTACGTGAGCCCGCATGCATGCTCGCAGGTTCACCACAAGCCTCTCCAGGCTTTGGTCCAAGCTGCTCCCGTGCGACGTCACCACCGCTGAGATGATGTTCTTGACCCCTTCTCCCCCAGGCCGAGGCGTCTGGAGCCTCCACAAGCCAGGGCCGCCGCCTTGAGCGTCACCTTCACCGCAAACCAGTGGTCTGTCAGGCCATAGGGTACCATACTATGCTTCACCTCTGCTACACACCCTAGCAGGGAGTGAGAAACTAACGCCCTATCAATCCGTGTACTCGTCCTTGCAGATCTAGAGAAGAAAAGTATACTCTTTCCGCGTCGGGTGAAGACTCCGGAAAGCATCCTGCAGATCCCATCTCGAGCAAATCTGCAGAAGCTTCTGGTTCTCCGCCGGGGTCCCCAACTTCGAGGACTTATCCAGCTCCGGGTCCGCTACAATATTCAAGTCCCCTATGAGGATGGTATAAGAAGAGGCGCCTAGGCCTTGCACGAATGGTGACAGCTCATCTCGGAAGAAAGTCCCCCTAGCGGTTGCCTGCGCCGGTAGATACGCCGCTACTATTCTGCACTTCAGATCTCGCCAAGATATCATCAGGCTCAGGAGCCGACCAGACGCATTTCTACTGACTTCTGTAAACCGCATCCCTGGCAGGAAACCCAAGACCGCCACCCCTCCTGCTCTCTGCGATGGGCCAACCACCACCTGAGCCTCCGTTCTCACTTGCGACCAGAAATTGTGGTCGTCTGGGACACGCGTATCGGTGAGTACCACAATGCTCGCTGCTTTCCTGATCCATTTTGCACATCTTTCCTGCTTCCCGCTGCTACCGAGCCCGTTGATGTTGAGCTCGAGAATGGTAAGGTTGTTGTGTTTATTCATTAACCCACTCCTTTGAGCCCCTCAGCATCCACGGGCGATTGAGTTTTATTGCGACGATACAACCGGCTACAGCGAAAGAGAACATGGCACCGACTACACAGCCTGCTCCCAACAACCATCTTGCTGCCTCCTCCCTTCTCTTCATGAGACACGTGTCCAGGCCACTGGTTATCATGCTGCCGTCTTGACTATGAAATCCTTCTTGAATTGTACTATCCTCCGTAATTGCTTTTACTGATACTTTGGAGGCCGGACTCAGCAGACTAGCCTAGTATTCAGTCCTAGCACATTCGTCCTAGTGAAACGTCTTACTCCAGCTGGTTTCTGCAATACCTTGCTAGCTTCATTGTTACGTGGTATGGCGTTGACTCGCGTGTTGTTCGACCACTTGTCGGACGATCTTCTCTGCACTATCCTCCGTGAGAGATTTAATCAGGCAGCGGCGCATTTCTCCCTCGCCCTGGTCTGTAAGCGATGGTATCGCGTCGTTTGTCTTACTCAAAGGTCGATCTTCTTCAAGAGTGATGTGCAAAACACCCACGTTCTCCGATCTCTTTCTCAGTTTAAGAACCTGGCGTCTGTAAATATAGTTGGGTCCGAGGGTCCTGGCGACGATTTCCTCATTGGCCTGGCTTCTGCCTGTCCCAAGCTTACGGAGCTGCAACTTATGAATTTTAGCCGTTCCACAGTAACGCGTACGGGTCTAGATACACTGCTCACGGCATGCACTGACCTGCAGATACTCTCCTTACACTTGTCCGTGAAGATTGAGCAGATGCCGATTTCATTATTCGGTTTAACCTCATTGAGAGACCTCACACTCAGTTTCGGCCTCGGCGAATTCCCTGATCAGTTCGGCAGGCTGAAATCCCTGAAGAGGTTGACAATGGAGTGCCTGCACATCACAGATCTACCAGATTCGATCGGCCAGCTCACTGCATTGACCGAGCTAAGCATTTCCAACTGCAAGCGGCTTGAGGATCTACCGGATTCCATCGGCAATCTTCGTTCGTTACAGAAGCTGGAAATTTTCCGCGCGAAGCCGATGGAAGTTCTCCCTGACAGCATCGGCCAGCTTCAAACCTCGAGAATGTTCTTCTCTACCACAACCGGTCCCTATGCGAGCTGCCGGATCCCTTCTTCCATCTCCCGTCTCTCAAGGTTCTCAAGCTGTGGGAATTGAAAGATCTTCCGGAGCTCGATAGCACTGTGTCGAATCTCGTGAATCTCGAAATGCTTCAGATTGACAAATGCTGGTTCGAATCGCTCCCGGATTCCCTCTGTCAGCTTCCCAACCTCCGTCGCCTGATGGTCACTGACTGCTGGGATCTTACCAGCCTTCCGCAAAGCATCGGCGACGTATCTTCATTGCAGCGTCTGAAATTCAGGGATCTCGGAAGGGTGACGCAGCTGCCAGTCTCCATTTCAAAGCTGTCCGATCTGCGATCATTCGTCCTGAAAGGATGCGGTGCCATCTCCGAGGTCCCGACTTCTCTCTTCCAAGACTGCACGAACTTAGTGAAACTTGAGTTTGACTGGCCATACAGCTGCAGAAATGGCGGCCGGGCTGGAGGAGCACCTTCAGCTGAAGCCTTCGTGTCCAATATTTGCACACTATCCAGCCTTACATCCCTTGTCCTGTCTGGTGTTCCTGATCTCCATACCCTTCCTCCCCAGATTGGGAATCTCTCGGAGCTGGAGCGGCTGAAACTTCGTTTTTGGAACGAACTGACGAGCTTGCCTGACTCCATGTCCAAGCTTGTCCGCCTCTACACTCTTGAGATTGTTCATTGCCCGGATTTCGATAAAACGATCAATGCGATTCCTGGGCTTCCACGTGTGGATATCGTACGGGAGAGCAGTCACAAAGATTGGGGAAGCGACGATGAGTGGGAAACTGACGACGAAGGGATGCTGTAGAAGTAAAGGTGAGCATTTATGCGTGGGTGCGTGCTTACCTTATTGATGATCACGAGAGTGGATGTACTTATTGCTCTGCTACTTTTAATGCGGGCGAATATGTAGCTTGGCTCTTGGTAGAATCTTCTTGTTTACTTCGTCTCTTCCCTTTTTTTACCTTAACCCTCTCATCTCGACTTGCACTCGCTCTCTCCGCCCTTTTCCCCGTGCCAGTCCTTTCTTCCGCCTGCGCTGTGAGCGTCTCTCCTGCCAATGGGGCCAGACGCAGCCGCCGTTGCTCCTATCCGCGCGTCAGCACAGGCGGGGAACCAACCTTCCGCCCACCCCTCCACTTCCGCCACTCCCCCTTCCGAAGATCACGGCGAGCGGGCGGCGGCTTCCGAAGGCGTACGTGCGGAGCGTGACGGCGCTCATCAGCAGCCTGCGCGATGCGCTGGGCGCGGAGGAGGGCGACCGGGGGGAGGTCCGGCGCAAGGCGGAGGTGGCTAAGGGCGCAATCCGCGCGTACCTGGGGGAGTGGCGGGGGAAAGCGCCGGAGAACACTGAGGTGAGCGCAGGGGAAGGGGGGAGTATGCGCTGAGAGGAGGGTTGAGCGGGGGGAGAGTTGAGGGGGAGGATGCATTGGACAGAGGGTTGGACGTGGGGAGGGTGGACGGGGGGAGGGTTGGACGTGGGGAGGGTTGGACGTGGGGAAGGGTTGGACGTGGGGAGGGTTGGACGTGGGGAGGGTTGGACGTGGGGAGGGTTGGACGTGGGGAGGGCTGGACGTGGGGAGGGCTGGACGTGGGGAGGGCTGGACGTGGGGAGGGCTGGACGTGGGGAGGGCTGGACGTGGGGAGGGCTGGACGTGGGGAGGGCTGGGACGTGGGGAGGGCTGGACGTGGGGAGGGCTGGACGTGGGGAGGGCTGGACGTGGGGAGGGCTGGACGTGGGGAGGGCTGGACGTGGGGAGGGCTGGACGTGGGGAGGGCTGGACGTGGGGAGGGCTGGACCTGGGGAAGGGTTGGACGATGGGGAGGGTTTGGACGTGGGAGGCTGGACGTGGGGAGGGCTGGACGTGGGGAGGCTGGACTTGGGAGGGCTGGACGTGGGGAGGGCTGGACGTGGGGAGGGCTGGACGTGGGGAGGGTTGGAGCGGGGGGGGCTGGACGTGGGGAGGGCTGGACGTGGGGAGGGCTGGCGTGGGGAGGGCTGGACGTGGGGAGGGCTGGACGTGGGGAGGGCTGGACGTGGGGAGGGCTGGACGTGGGGAGGGCTGGACGTGGGGAGGGCTGGACGTGGGGAGGGCTGGACGTGGGGAGGGCTGGACGTGGGGAGGGCTGGACGTGGGGGAGGGCTGGACGTGGGGAGGGCTGGACGTGGGGAAGGCTGGACGTGGGGAGGGCTGGACGTGGGGAGGGCTGGACGTGGGGAGGGCTGGACGTGGGGAGGGCTGGACGTGGGGAGGGCTGGACGTGGGGAGGGCTGGACGTGGGGAGGGCTGGACGTGGGGAGGGCTGGACGTGGGGAGAGGCTGGACGTGGGGAGGGCTTGGACCGTGGGGAGGGCTGGACGTGGGGAGGGCTGGACGTGGGGAGGGCTGGACGTGGGGAGGGCTGGACGTGGGGAGGGCCTGGACGTGGGGAGGGCTGGACGTGGGGAGGGCTGGAGGGGGAGGGCTGGACGTGGGGAGGGCTGGACGTGGGGAGGGCTGGACGTGGGGAGGGCTGGACGTGGGGAGGGCTGGACGTGGGGAGGGCTGGACGTGGGAGGGCTGGACGTGGGGAGGGCTGGACGTGGGGAGGGGCTGGACGTGGGGAGGGGCTGGACGTGGGGGAGGGCTGGACGTGGGGAGGGCTGGACGTGGGGAGGGCTGGACGTGGGGAGGGCTGGACGTGGGGAGGGCTGGACGTGGGGAGGGCTGGACGTGGGGAGGGCTGGACGTGGGGAGGGCTGGACGTGGTGAGGGGCTGGACGTGGGGAGGGGCTGGACGTGGGGAGGGCTGGACGTGGGGAGGGCTGGACGTGGGGGAGGGCTTGGACGTGGGGAGGGCTGGACGTGGGGAGGGGCTGGACGTGGGGAGGGCTGGGAGGGCTGGACGTGGGGAGGGCTGGACGTGGGGAGGGCTGGACGTGGGGAGGGCTGGACGTGGGGAGGGTTGGACGTGGGGAGGGCTGGACGTGGGGAGGGCTGGACGTGGGGAGGGCTGGACGTGGGGAGGGCTGGACGTGGGGAGGGTTGGACGTGGGGAGGGCTGGACGTGGGAGGAGGTGAGCGAGGGCTGAACGAGGAGAGGGTTGAACTCTCTTTCACGAACTGAAATGGGGAGTGGCGAGGGAAGGTCACTGGGCAGCAGATTGTATGGAGGTGAGAGCAGGGGACGAGGAAGATGCGTGGGGATGTGTTAGATGCACGGGGATGGGGGAGATGCATGTTGATGTGGACGATGGGGAAGATGTATGGGGGAAAGGGTTGAGAGGCTGAATGAAAGGCTCCTTTCACGTAATGCCTAGCCATGCCTTCTCACTCTATCCCACTCGTCTGAACCTCATTTATTGCCGTCTTTCCCCCCTCTCCTCCCTCTCTCCACTATGCCACCGTCACTTCCTCTCGCGACTCTGCTCTCACAACGCTCTCCCAGTTTTACATGCCTGGTGCAAAAAAATCAATGGCAAGCCTCCCTTTATTTTTTTAGGCGCCTCAAAAAATTGACTCTGCTTTCACAACACTCTCCCGCTTATACATGCCTGGTGCAGGGGAATCAATGGCAAGCCTCCATCTATTTCACATTCACTCCCTAACCTCCTCCGCTCGTCCCCCTCGTCCCCTTTCCCCCTCACCCCCTTTCCCTCTGCTGCCGTTTCCCCCTCCTCCCCGTTCCCCCGCCTCCACTCCTCCCCTCCTTCCCTCCTTCCCTCCTCGCTCTCCCAATCAGGCCATCAACTCCTCACTCGACTCTGCTCAGAACGTTCTCCCGCTTCACATGCACAGTGCAGCGAATTTAACACTAGGCTGCCTCTTCTTTTCATTTTCACATTCTCCCCCTGCCTTTTCCCACAACCCCCCTTCCTCCCCCCACTCCTCCCCTCCCAATTAGATCATCACCTCCTCTCTCGACTCTCTGCTCAGAACGCTCTCCCGCTTCTACATGCGCAGTGGAGTCAACGCGAAGCTTCCTGCTGACGTAAGAGACGGGATCCTTGCTGAGCTGGCGCTTGCGGAGGCTGCGTTGTGATTGGTAGGGGTCGGTGGTGGTTATCCAGTTAAGAACTCTGCAGCAACATATGTTATTTAAATAACAAGCTGCTGATTTTGCCTGAATGCACAAAACACAGCTGAGGCAGTTATACGAAATTTCTTTCTAATCTGTTGGCAGCTCCACTTTCCTTGGTCAAAGCTTCTGTACGAAACTACAACGATGATGCATATTCGTAATTTGTGCCTCAATAACACACGAATTGAGCCATGCCAACCTGGTATTGAACCTTGAACTTGAGTCTCCATAATTTATCCTATTTACTTCACACTTCACTTCACTTGGTATTTCCACTTTGTTGAGCGCAGACTTTGAATGACACAGTAACGCGCGCGCTCGCTGACTTTGTTGAAAGTACTCAAATTGACTTGACATGGCTTGGGTTTTTTGCTGGCAAGGTTCAGAGTATCTTAAACATATTTGGGTATTACATATTCTTTGTGAGAAGGGAATTTGTTGCGGAAATAAACCAGTAATCGATTTGATGAAGGCGAGTTGAAGGGTGTAAGCGGCTACAATGTCGATCGAAACCAGCAATAGTTTTCTCCTGTCAGGCTGGTGCCTGAATGGACATTGGGAGCAGTGATTTCAGGCTGACGTGGCTCTGCTCGAACTCCAGTGTCGCATCGCAAAAGCGCTCGGCTGGTTCACATTTGCTGAAGTGGCAAGAAATTGCAGTCCCAGCAGAATCAGCGCTCTTTCTCCATCAATATCGCAGATTAATCGTCTCTAGGCTGCGTTCTGCAGGCGCATCAGCCCGCATCAATGTACGGTACATTGATGCGTTCGACCATGGTTCCAGGATCCTTCCATGATAACCTGCCGACAAGTTATGAAGGCTCTCGATAAGCGCATGGCTGCCGAAGCAGAACACAACCGAATGCCTGCAGAACGGCCTTTTTGGCTTTCGAAATTTGTAATGTGATTGCTTTCCAAGAAGTTTCATTTCCCAGCAATCGGGCGCATCATTTCCAAATCATACACCCCAATTTCAAGCAATTTGGGCAAGTAAACAGGTATCACACGAGTGGCCTACAACCTCCGTCAAGTGTTTCGAGGCTGAGATGCGATTTCGAAGCTGCCAACCTGGCGCGTCAACGAATCGGGAGTTTCCCGAAGCTGCCAACCTAGCTGCCCAAGCAGTTCCGAGAGTTCCGAAGCTGCTTGGGCTCTTGTCCTTACGACGCGACCCGTCGACGGTATCTTCCCCACTCAGCTCAAACTGGAACTTCGAACACATCCCCCGAAAACATACCTTCCCTCCTCCCCCCCCCCCCCCCCCCCCCACCCATTTTTAAAGCGACGGTGCACATTTGCCACCCAAAACTCAGAACCCTGGCGAACTGTTACTGCGGATGGAAAGTGTCCGCACGAAATCCTGGTTTTCGCCAGCCAGCACTTTCGCGCTGGCAAGCCTGGTTAAAAAAAAAAACTTCTGAACCCAACACTGCCAAAAGTTGCCCGTCGCTTTAAGAAGTTCTTACTTCCTCGCTAGAAATGCATTTCAGGTTTCATTCTAAACTTCATAAGGTTTGGTTCTCACGGGAACAATTTTCGGAAGCTAGAAATCGCTTGACTCGAAGTCGCACATGGCGGACGCATATTACTACCCTCGAGTCGCGCGTTCCGTGACCGTTCTTCACGGCGCGGCGTTGCGCGCTCACGTTAGTACGACAGCGTGCCTCCTCCTGCTACTGCTCTACTCTTCACTGACGACGGCTTTCCCGCCTATATCAAGGCAGCTTGTATCGAAGCTACCTGCTGCTCGCCGCGGACAAGGACTCTCCGCGCAGACAGTTCCGCCTAGCGCGGCGCAATATCTCGGTGCGCGGCGGGCGGAGAGAACATTATTCATTGATCCCTGCTGGACAGCACCTGCGTCCGACGCAGCGGTCGCCGGAACCAGCAGTGACCCGTCGCAGGCTTCGGCGGCTGACGCGGCGGCTCTCTGGGCGATCTTCGCGGCCGCGCTGCTGCCTATCCCGGCGGACAATCCGTGCACGTGGACCGGCGTGACTTGCTGCACCGGCGGCGTTGTTAAGCAGCTAGACCTGCAGCAAAGCCTGGAGGACATCGTCAACACTAGCCTCGCGGCCCCCCCCACCCACGCCTCGCCTTTGCAACCGTACTGCGCGCGTACCCGGTGGAAAGTTCCCCGCAACCCTCTCCGATTCAATCGGCCAGTTGACGGGTCTCACCGATCTCGGTCTGACGGATCTCTGGCTTGCTGGCTCTTTCCCGCGATCGTTTTCCCGGCTTACGAAAATGTCGAGTCTCGAAATTAGCGAAAACTGCTTCGTGCATGGAACCATGCATCTCAGTGCATGGAACCATTCATCTCAGTGCATGGAACCATGCATCTCAGTGCATGGAACCATGCATCTCAGTGCATGGAACCATTCATCTCAGTGCATGGAACCATGCATCTCAGTGCATGGAACCATGCATCTCAGTGCATGGAACCATGCATCTCAGTGCATGGAACCATGCATCTCAGTGCATGACACCATTCATCTCAGTGCATGGAACCATGCATCTCAGTGCAAGGAACCATGCATCTCAGTGCCCATGCATCTCAGTGCATGGAACCATTCATCTCAGTGCATGGAACCATTCATCTCAGTGCATGGAACCATGCATCTCAGTGCATGGAACCATGCATCTCAGTGCATGGAACCATGCATCTCAGTGCATGGAACCATGCATCTCAGTGCATGGAACCATGCATCTCAGTGCATGGAACCATGCATCTCAGTGCATGGAACCATGCATCTCAGTGCATGGAACCATGCATCTCAGTGCATGGAACCATTCATCTCAGTGCATGGAACCATGCATCTCAGTGCATGGAACCATTCATCTCAGTGCATGGAACCATTCATCTTAGTGCATGGAACCATGCATCTCAGTGCATGGAACCATGCATCTCAGTGCATGGAACCATGCATCTCAGTGCATGGAACCATGCATCTCAGTGCATGGAACCATTCATCTCAGTGCATGGAACCATGCATCTCAGTCCTTTTTGAGTCGACTCAAAATGACTTTTGAGTCAACTTTTGAGTCGACTCAAAAGTCATCTCGGAACCATGCATCTCAGTGCATGGAACCATTCATCTCAGTGCATGAACTAACATACTTCCATTGAGCATTCTGTAGCAGGACCCTAACAGCCGTCAACAGTTTTTGGTTGAACCCAGCATCTTACTATTTCGCAGGAGGAGTGTGGCGTTTCAGCAACACTCCTCAGTAGGAACCCAGCACCCACGCACTCCTCAGCCATTGCCCCGTTACCCCAGCACCCAACCATTGATTTTTTTCTTTTTCTTTTTCTTTTTCAGCAGATCTCAGGGCTGCAGCCGATCTTTCCAGCAGCCAGCAGCTCACAGCCAGCAGGACTGCCATAAAATCTTCAACACCATCACATGCTATTTCCCCACCCATTCCTTGACAAGCTTCAGGAAGGTCATGATGCTCAGCCGCTAGTAGCAAGAGGGTCTGCTGTGTAATCCTCTGTAGCAGGGCTTCGGCAATTTTCAGCTCGATTCTGGCAAAAGAGAGACACTGTGCAGTCCTGAAACTGGTAACAGCCGACACTAGTTGATGGGGTAGTGATCCTTGATTGACCTCATTTTTCCATTCAAGTATACTTATGCTTCATACTCAGACATTCACCTTCAATGCTGTTATAATCCCAAGTGGGACTTAGCGAAGGATCGCTCAGGGTTGATCGCAGAGTAGTGTTGCAGCGGAAGTTTGAATCTCATGTCAGAGTGAATGTAAATGACTGAGTTGATAATAGCATGCATACATCGGGTTTATATAAGAATACAGGGGAATACGAAAAGACCTAGACTAGCCATGTACTCTAAGGGGTACATTCCCTTATTACAACCGAATTCAAACCGTGCGGCGCGGGAACCCGTTTCAAACCTGTTCCCGCTCTTTTCACTTCAAATGTTTCTGCCAGCATCGGTCTTGGTTAGGCGGTTGCTGCGTCGCTTCGACTCTTCTGACTCCTCGACTTCGTACTTGGTAGAGTCGGCTCCTGCAACATACAGGAATGCCTACTCATAGAACTTCATATCGTAACACTCCCCTTCATTCCTGGACGCGAGTAGAGCTGACTCGCTTGACTACTCCGGTGAGGTCAGAGCAGTGTTTGTACTGCTGACGTGGCAGGCGCTTGGTGAGGAAGTCTGCTGCTATCTCAGTGGTCGGGCAGTAGGCGAGGTCAACTTTGCCTTGGTCGATTTCGTCCTTGACGAAAAAGTACCGAAGCGCGATGTGCTTCGTGCGGTTCACGAAACCTGGCTTGTTCGCGATCCTGATGGCACTCTGGTTGTCGCAGTGAAGGCGAAAGGTGGGCGAAGTTGGAATTTTCGCCTCCTGTAGCAGCTCCTGCAGGTACAGGCCTTCGCGAACTGCTGCTGTCGCGGCGATGTATTCTGCTTCGGCCGATGACAGGGCAACCAGTTCCTGCTTCTGCGAGTTCCAGGAGATTGGCCCAGTTGGTTCCAAGCGAAAAATGAAGCCGGTTCGGGACCGTCGATTTGCAGGGTCAGCTGCATGATCTGCGTCCACGTAGCCGTTGAGGGTGAAGGAGGTGGTCGTCAGCGTGGAGTAGGTGAGCCCAATGTCAGGAGTAGAGATGAAGTACTGCAGGGCGCGCTCCAGGTCCAGCTGGTTCTCTGCTACTGGCTTGCGGGAGTACTGCGCCAGTTGGCTGGCGATGTACGAAAGGTCGGGTCGGCAGGTGACAGAGGCGAATAGCAGGCACCCCAATCTCTGCTGGTACATTTGGAGTCCTGCGGGCGACAGTGGTTTGTTGTCCGGTTTGTAGTTGGTGCTGGGGCTGCGGTAGGGAGTTGAGAGTGGTGCGGGTGAGATGTTGAAGCGTTCCCCCAGCTGTTCTGCGTACTTGGAGGCTGACAGATGAATTGCTTCTGGCGCGTAAGTGATGTTTAACCCCAAAAACT